AAAATGAAAGCGCTAAAGCTTAACTGAGGATTTTTGTGTTTTCTTTTTACCTTTTTTTAATATTGTTATCCGATTACTGAGACATTATTTAAATTTTGGATATATATATATATATATATATATATATATATATATATATATATATATATATATATATATATATATATATATATATATATATATATCTATCTATTTATCTCAGATAAGTGCATATAAAAACATCAAGTATGTATTTAATAAATTTTATTGTGGCGAAAATTGGGCACGGCTGTTTATCCAGAGACACAAATTATGAAAAGCTATTGGTGTCTCTGGCAACACAACAAAGCAAATATTACATATTAAATATTCAAACTCAGGTTCAAAGTTCAAAGGTCAAAGTTCACAAACACCATATCAGAAAGTGGTAAAAGCCTTGACCCTGGGAGGTGCAGAGGTCAAGCACTTATTTATGTATATCTAAATCCAAAGTTTACTTTTCAACTTTCATGAGTTACATGACTGCATATAAGGATATTTACTTAGTGCCGCTCGTTTACGCACATCTCAGCTGGAAAGAAACGGACAGCTGTACCAGATTCTATAAATTCACATTATTGTTTAATGTTTGCGGTTAGAGGTAAATTATTGGCTCCTGGAAATGATGCATGACTTGCTCTTGGAATGAATCACTTCCATATAAATGGCTGTTCCTCACATCACTTTCGCATTAAATGTCTTGAAAGTCCAGAATGCTGCGAGTCCATAGAGATACTAGTGGTTCAATCCCCTTGGCAATGGCTGTTCCCTAAGGTCCTGGTTTCATCCCATAAGTCCTGTCATGTTGAGCTTGATAATCACTGTAAGTCAGACTTCGTCTGAAAGCATTAAAAAACCAGAAAAGCAATAGATCTATTCTAAATGGGTGAGGTGGGTGGGTGCTTCAAATTAATAATACACAATAACAAGCTGGAAAATTTTTACCGACCCAAGATGATGCTGGAATATTGAAAAAGGAAGTTGGAACCAAAGCGCCCTCAGGTGTTTTTATTAAAAGGGGGAATGATCAACTAAAATATTTTACAAGAACGATAATCACTAGGAATAAGTACTGAGATTTAGGTAAAGCATTTAAATATGCACTTCCTTCGATAAAAGCAGCTAATTCAGAGTGAATTAGCTTTGAATATTATCTCAGATAAGTGCATATAAAAACATCAAGTATGTATTTAATAAATTTTATTGTGGCGAAAATTGGGCACGGCTGTTTATCCAGAGACACAAATTATGAAAAGCTATTGGTGTCTCTGGCAACACAACAAAGCAAATATTACATATTAAATATTCAAACTCAGGTTCAAAGTTCAAAGGTCAAAGTTCACAAACACCATATCAGAAAGTGGTAAAAGCCTTGACCCTGGGAGGTGCAGAGGTCAAGCACTTATTTATGTATATCTAAATCCAAAGTTTACTTTTCAACTTTCATGAGTTACATGACTGCATATAAGGATATTTACTTAGTGCCGCTCGTTTACGCCACAAGTTCCCAACCACAAGTTATTGTGGTAGGGAACTCCGCCACCATATGGGTGGGGGTAGAGCGGCAGAAGTAGCCATGCCCAAGCCAATACCTATCATGATTGATGAAATTGATTCCCTGTAAAATTAAACCTAACCCGAATTATACATGGATTCGATGTGATGACCCTAATAAAATAGTATAGATTTTGGCTATGAGTAGATCAAAGAAACATGTACGCATGTCTATCACTACACATGTAGAAACCAGGAATATATAAGCAAAATATATAAACGAGATACAGATTAAATATTTAAAATCTATTTTATATCTGAATTAAAAGGAAACTGTACTAACCTTATTACTGTAAATTACCTATTTATTGGAATACAGCCGTACATGTATATCAAACTAACCTTATGAGAAAACCGGAGAAAACGAACGTTGTCAATCCAACTCGGATAAGTATACATGTGACCATACAAAGGTGAACATTTTATTGAACAAGTATCCCCTGAATTTCTTTGAGTAGGATCATGTGCTTGAGAGAAAGCATTCCCTAATGCCTGTTGAAATTTGCCTTAAGCCCTATATATTTTGATTGGCGCAATGGGACATTGTATTGAAATTTAGAATAAAAACAAGGGCCTACCAATTGGTATGAAACGTTAAAATATGACCTACTTATGGGTTAAATCTACGAACACGGTCAGTAAAACGGCAATAAAATTTACAAAATCTAAACTTTAAAGAAGGTTTATCTGTGTTTAACAAACTAAGTTACAATTCTGGTTAAAGCTATACTGATTAGCAAACATGGCACAATACGGTTGATTTAGAAATAATATTTTAATATACCATATAATGGTAGCTAGCTTAGGACACCCTCACCACTAATATTCAGAGTTGGGAAATATGCCACACTTCCAGCAAGAAAGTAAATAATGTTCAAATTAGAATTTGTACGAGAAGTATGTCCAATCAATGACCAGTTGGAGCCATAAAAATTAATACTCAAGCATTTTTGTGATTCTAAGGTTTTGCCAAAAATTAATTCCAATACACAATTGTAGACTTAGTGAACACTAGTGATCTTTTATGCTTCGCTGATTAAATAATATATTCTTGTAGTATATGAAATTAAAAGTAAATATATGCACAAAGCATAATAAATTGTTAAATTATTTGTTTTCTAAATAAATAAATGATAATCAGCTGCACATCATATTTCGATTGTATGATGTACATGTATGTGATAAGTTTCATTTTCATAAAAATTGAAAAATAATTAGAACATGTAAAAGACTACAATGAAATAGGTGCAGATCTAGTAATTTTGTAGTGTGTGTACATTTTGAATGTTTAGTGTATGTAAAGGATGGAATGTTTTGTGTTGTGTATGTTTACATTAGTGTATGTAAATTAAGGGCTGTATGAATTCAAATACACCAAGGGCAATGGGCAGCCAGCAATGAGCATGCCCCAAATCAAATAATCAAACATCAACAACACATATTCATGACATTCAAGATATTGTAGCTAGAGGTGATGATTAACATGATTAACAGTTGATGCATTGTGTATGTTTAGTGTACATGTATGTAAATTAAGGGCTGTATGAATTCAAATACAACAAGGGCAATGGGCAGCCAACAAGAGCATGCCCCAATCAAATATTCAAACAACATCAAACAACACATATTCACAATATTCAACATAATTCATAAGCTACACATCAACAATGTAGCTGGGAGGTCATGATCAGATTTTTTTTTTTTTTTTTTTTTTTTTTTTGTAAAAATGCATTGTGTATGTTTATTGTATGTAAATTAAGGGCTGTATGAATTCAAATACAAGGGCAATGGGCAGCCAACGACGAGCATGCCCCAATCAAATATACAAACAACACATATTCACAACATTCAACATAATTTATAAGCTACATATACAATAATGTAGCTGGAAGTTCATGATAATTTTTTTTTATTTTTTTTTTATTTTAATGCATTGTGTATGTTTAATGTATGTTTATTAAGGGCTGTATTCAAATACAACAAGGGCAATGGGCAGCCAACAACGAGCATGCCACAATCAAATATTCAAACAATATCAAACAACACATATTCACAATATTCAACATAATTCATAAGCTACACAAAACAGTGTAGCTGGGAGGTCATGATCAATTTTTTTTTTTTTTATTTTTTTTTAAAGAATGCAGTGTGTATGTTTCGTGATGCATGATGCAAGATGTAAGTGTAAAATGCTCTGTGTGAGTAGTTGTTTTGTAAATGTAAGCATATTGTTAGATGGACAATGGGCTTTATTTTGGAGGATTAATTAATGTATTTAAATTGATTTTAGTGTAAAGGCTATTATAATAATACTTGTGCAATGTGCAACCTATAGATGCATGCATGCCTAAAACATTCATGAACGATATTTAAAAATAAACATTGTTGCTAACAAAGTAATCAGCTAAATAGATTGTCATGAATTGAAATTTTCCATTTTGTTAAACTGTTTAGGCCGTCTCTACAGTCTAGCACATCAGAGTTGCATTAAAAGTATGATTCAGTGTTTTCCTTAAAAACCGGTTACCAGGCAAATTGACCGCTTCAATTGACAAAAATGTTGCTTTGAAACAAAATTTATTGTTAGGTACTCGACAGATAATTTGTTCATAAACATCAGCTCCTAGCATGTTACAACTGATCTCTAACCCCTTACTCTGAAATAAGGGAAAACACTGTATATGTATGGTGCCTAAACTCGTTAGACACTACCTATAAATTTAAAGAGAGGTTAAAAGGAGATATAGCAGAAATAAAACTGCTTAGTTAGGCAAAACCGTACACCAGGAATTATCATAAGATTCTACATGTATGAGGTGTTCCAGATTTCTACATGAGCACAACAGTCCTGCTGGAAGTGGGTATAAATTTATCTGGCTAGAATTTGATAAAACCATCCAAAATATTTAAGAGAGAAACTTTAAAATTGTATTTAGAATGTACCTTATTTTTATCTGAAATCCTTTTTTTTTTTTTAAAAAATAATTTGTCTTTGAAAATTTTTAAACAGCAAAAATGTGAATATAGGGCTGATAAGGTACATATTCGATTCCTGACCTATAGGCTGCATGATGAATTGTACCCATTTGCTTGTCACAATTTGCAACCAGTAATTGTTGATGACAGAATTTTAAATATCGATCTGAATTGTAATTTATGAGAAATTTTTAGATTACTCGTCCTGCTGGGCGTCAATACATATAAATTCGTGCATCTCGGGCGGTCAGGAGCACGGTTATTTCAAACACTGTTGAGAAACATGTCAAGTGTCAATTATGGTAATTTAAGTGATAATACCAATATTACCTATTTGTATTTTATAAACTTAACAATAGGTAAATAACAAGTGAATTTAAATTTCCCATGTCAGACTGATTTACAAGAAGTCATGACTATATTAAAACAAAAATCGTGTTAAAATAACGAGTCTCCGGGACGGGTGAGATTCACTTTCGATTCATTCCGGAAATCGAAATGCGCATGCGCAGAATTTTAAACATCAAACCCGATTGCAATTGCAGTTAACTTGAGTCAGCATGGCGGCTCCCATATGAATGTGATGAATACGAAGAAAACGCTTCTTAACTGACTGTAAGTAAATAAAAAACTTAGTTAGTTCTTGAGATCCAAATGGGGGGGGGGGGCGGGATGGTAACACGTCATAAACGTCGGAACGGTGGGGGTGGGGGGGGGGTACTCAAAGATACCATTACTTACATGGAAAATTAGGCTTATACCTTTTTCGGTTTGGCCCCTCTTTTAATTAACCTCCCCCACCCCCCCCCCCCCCCCACACACACACACACACACACACACAACACTTTCAATTTGCTTCCGAAGCCTATCACACTATGATTCCTATCATACCTTATGCCTGCCTGGATACATGTAATAGCAGATAAGTGTTACATGTAATGTATACATTACAAGTATAAATAAAACTATATCATTAAGTCTAAAATAAAAGAAGATTTAAGGTAACACCCACCCCACTTCATCTTAAATTAATGGCTTGTAAAATAAAAAGTAGGGTGATGTTCAAGTGACAGAAGAAAAGATTTGTGTCAAGGGATTTTTAACATTAATTTTATAATAGTTTTCAGTAATACAATGAGTAACAGAAATATTTCATTTGTTTTCATCTCTTATATTTTTATTTATATTTTAATGTTGAGACCAATTTTTGAACTAATTAATGTAACATGATTTTATTTGTAAGAGGAAATTAAAGAAGAAATTGAAAGTGTATGGCTGGAGTGGACTGTGTACATGTATATAGATAGGCCTGGGTAGCTCAGTCGGTAGAGCACCTGACTAGTGATGCAGGGATCCATGGTTCAATCCCAGTCCAGTCCTACATTTTCTCCTTTCTATTTATACAAAATTTCATTTACAAATGAATCCATGGCATTAAAAAAGAAGGCAAAGCCTATTTTAGTCCTCATCCTGTAAAAAATAGATTATTTATCAATCTGAGGACTCAATTTTATTTCTTTCATTATGAAATTTATTTATTTATTTTTTTTTGAGAAAAAACAACAGACATCATATATGTTACCATAAATTCATAAAATGACCCCTTCACTGGGTTGAATATAGGTAAGTTCATGTAAAGATGTGTAAGCAAGTACAATATAAATTTCACATTTATTAAATTTTTGTATTCACTTGCCAGTAATTAAAACTGAACTCATTTTATGTTGTCTTAGATGCAGTTCCCTGTGAATCATTTATTGGTTCAAGACTAAGTCATTGAATGAATATTATGATTTTTATTCTCCAGGTTCTTATACTGAGCTGGAGTTTTGCTACTCTGTGAACAATTACAATGGAGAGAAATGATCATGACTTCTAAAGTACTTTTACACTGACGTAAGTTGGTAAAATATCTAAATACATAATTTAAAAAGTAACGTGGGGGAGCAAGATATGTGATATACCTGGATATATAAGTTTTATAGGTATAGATTAATTTAGGTAATCTGTGGTCTCCCTTATAATATCATGTCAGTTTATTTTATAGTATTTGTTAAACACAGTGCCTAACCTCTGATCTCCTTACTAATAAATCAGAGTAAGCAACTTCCAGTTTCTGCATTCATTATAAGATCTCTAACAAGCAGGAGGAGAACAAAGATCAAGTGCACCCCCTCTCCGACCCCTTCATTTAGCTCAGACTTTTCACTGATTCTTTAACAATGGAATAATTATTTGGTTATAAATTATATCATGTGTAAAATTACTGCACATACCACAATTTAGAATTATTCCTCTTAAAAATGTTCTGTGGCATCCTAATAATGTCACAGGCACCTGAAGTATGGATAACCCCCCCTCTTTTTTATTCCTTATTTAGTATAATAAAAGTACACTGTTATTACCTTAGAAATCTGTCTCAAAGCTGGGAACCCCCCGCTTGTTTACAAATTTTGTTTCTTACCTTGTGTATTTTTATTATACCCTATAAGGCCATATTTAAAATGTGATAAAAACTACAATCTGTTTGCATAAAACAACATATATAGATGTATTTGACTTTGACAGGGAAATTTTATTATTTTTTTAGCTCACCTCAACGAAGTTGGGGGAGCTTATGTAATACCCTCGGCGTCGGCGTCGGCGTCGGTGTCGGCGTTGGCGTCCCAGGTTAAGTTTTTTGGAGCAGTTTTCTTTTAAAGTACTTCTTTGTCCTATATTGATCAGACATGCATGGAATATGCTTCTAGTGTGTTTCATTGTACCAGTCAAAGTTTCAGATGCTGCAATTTAAACGAAGAAATGACCTGGTTAATGTTTTTGGAGCAGGTTAACTTTTTTGGTGCAGTTTTTGGTGTAGGTCTCATTCCCAAGGA